ACGACTTCATTCTAGTCGCTAGAGATCCAGCCGAGATGGCAGTTGTCCAGTCTGCTCTCAGCTCCGCCCTTCTCATGAAGGATCTTGGTGACCTCAAGAACTACCTGGGGATGGAGATGACTCGTGACCTCCAGGCTTGCACGATCACCCTCTCCCAGGAGTCGACAACCTTTTCAAGCGATTCGACATGGACTCCGGTAACTCTGTCTCCACTCCACTTCCACAACAACATCAGCTTACGGCCCCTCCGATTCCTTCTCTTGTCACATGCAAGGACCCGTACCCTGAGCTAGTCGGTTCACTCATGTATGCCATGATGTGCACTCGACCAGACTTGGCTTACCTGGTTAGCATCCTCTCTCGGTATGTCTCCCCCGGACGTCACACTGCCTCGCATGGGTCTGCAGCCAAGAGGGTCCTTCGATATCTACAAGCCACCAAGTCTCACATCCTCACTCTTAGTGGTACCTCTCCAGTCAAGCTCGAGGGATACACAAATTCCTCATGGGCCGATAACCAGATTGATAGACGATCCTCCCAAGGGTACTGTTTCACCCTTGGTAGTGGAGTCATCAGCTGGCACTCCACTCGGTCCTCTGCAGTCTCCCTGTCGTCCTGCGAGGCTGAGCTCTACGCATGCACAATGGCTGCTCAAGAGGCACGCTGGCTCTCCTTTCTTCTCGCTGAGTTAGGCTACCCCCAGCAGTCGTCCACCCTGTGGTGTGACAACCAGAGTGCTATTTACCTCACCAAGGATCCTGTGTTCCACTCTCACACCAAGCACATCAAACTTCGTCATTTCTTCATCCGATATCTTGTTCAGAGTGACCAGCTGACGGTACGGTACATCGCTTTATATTGCAACCTTGCTGACCTCTTCACCAAGGCTCTCGGCAAGGCTGACCACCATCGCCTTCTCCGCTCCATGGGGCTATGTGCTCATTGACTGGGTTTGCAGTCTATGGGGGTGTGTTAGAAATAGATTGCAAATCCCACATTTGTATTTGTACTTTTATATCCTAGTTTAGGTTAGGAATGTTCAAGTGGGTTGGGGTGTACTCACAAAATCCCAACCTCACCCAATTGTGATCCCCCCAATCTCCAATTACCCAATTGGAGATTCCGGAGATCCCAATGGGGATTCCCTCCGATTCCCCCTTCATCCATTCTCTCTCACCTTGCCATGTACTTATAGAGCCTTGGGCTCCTTACCTAATCAATCATTTCAGCTCTATTTCTTACACGTACCAGCTGCTAACTGGCCCGCAGGCAAGCCAGGTGTGCAGGCGCGCGGGGCACACTGCTGCTTGCTGCTTCCGCCGCCTAGACGACCTCTACCGTCATCACTTTGGCCCGCTGGTGCAAGTACCCATCTGGCCTATCTTGCTTCGTCATGGGGTTCCAATCTTCGACATGGATACGTTTCAGATTGATCATGCCTTGTATTCTGTGTATTTTGATGCTTTTGCATTGCTCGTTCTTATTACAGTATCATGCTATTTGTAGCCTAGGAGCTACTGCTGTGTATAGTCTAGGACCCCCTGCTGCATCAGACGTAGAATCCCTTGCTGCGTCAGGCATAGGATGTGTTAGAGACTCTTCACTGGGCCCCGCCATGTCTGGCGCGTCTTGTTGCTTCTTTTGAGACAGTACAGCTCTCACCCCGCTTCCTGCACCTGTCTGCGTTGCACTAGCAGACTACTCCCTCACAGCTGTCACACGTAGCACCACTACTCTCCCTTGTCCAACTGTTTCCTCTGGCTCCCTCACTGGTCTGCACATCCCCTCGTTTTCCAGGAACCTAGTGGGTGTCGGTCACCTCCAGGACCGAGACGTTACCACTACATTCCTTGGCCGCGAAAAACACACTGCATCCACAGACACAGCCATCGATCGCCACCTAACTACTTTTGAGCGCGACCTAGGGGCAGGTCTCTTTGCATTGCACAATGAGTTTGCCGATGTTGCCGCAACCTGCTCCTGTTGCTCACTAGCCCACCCGACCCTTCTATGGCACCACCGCTTAGGTCACCCTACACTTCCGCTTCTTAGGCACATATCCCAGCATGGTCTAGGCACTGGTCTCCCTGCGCCGCTCCCCGCCCTGCCTACATCTGTAGCACTAAAGTGCACCTCCTACGTCGAGGGCCGGTAGCGCGCCGCTCATCACTCCTCATCGTTTCCTCCTATCAAAGCGCCACTACAGACATTGCACATGGGCGTCTGAGGCCCTGCCCCGGTCCATGGTCTTAGTCGGGAGTGCTACTTCATAGTCCTTGTTGACGAATTCTCGCGCTTCACCACAGTGTTCCTGTTGGAGCGGAAGGTCGACGTGCCTACCGTTCTCCTCCCATGGTTTCTTGATGTTTGCACCCATCACCGCCTGCCTGTAGGTCGCTTAGTCTCTGACCGTGGTGACGAGTTTGCCTCTAGCACTCTAGGACAGTTCTGTCGTATGGAGGGCATCCGCCAACAAACTCATTACCGGACTCCCCACAGCACAATGGGTTTGCTGAGCGACGCATCGGCCTGGTGATGGAGGTAGCCCACACATCCATGGTCTACTTTGGTGCACCCCATTTTCTGTGGCCGTTCGACGTGTGTTACGCTGCTTACCAGCTTAACCTGTGGCCCCGCTTCAAGGGGACACATGTTTTGCAGACCCTTCTCTGGAGCAGGTCTCCTGGTGACACGTCTACATTCCACGTCTGGGGCAGCCTTCCTCACGTCCGCAACACTAGCGTGGACAAGATCTCAGCCCGCACACTTTCTTGTGTCTTTCTGGGGTTTCCGCTTAGCGCCCCAGACTGGCTGTTCTATGAATCGTCACACCACCGCTTCTACAACTCTCATAATGATTGCTTTGACGAGACACTCCCCTACTACTGACGCTTCCCACACTGCAACGCTCTTGTGCCTCCTCCTCTTCTCTTCCTCGTCCCTGCCCTGCCTACCGCACCCCTCTCACCCCGCCCGGCCCAGTTTCGTTTCCCCCATGCCACTCAGTTCCCCTCGGTTGGGCCCGTGGGGGAGTTGGTTGACTCTGGGGGGCCAGCTGCTGGGAGCGCGCCTGCTGTCCCTGTGGCGCCTCCCCCAGCCCCGGTACCCCAGGCACCTCCGTCGCCTTCCCCTTGCCTCCATAGCAGTAGGAGGATCAACGGTCGCATCAGCAGCCAACTCAACGGTCGCATCAGCAGCAGTAGGAGGGAGCAGTGGGCTCTGGGGGTGTTGATTCAGGGGGTGCTGACTCTGGGTGCTGGTTCTGTGGGTGGTCCGTCCGAGGAGGCTCGTCTTGGGGGTGCTGTTTTGGGGAGTGCCAATGGGAGCTGAGGTGCAGCTGGAGGTCTTGGAGAGGACAGGGAGCAGCGGCAGCAGCAACAGCAACAGCAGCAGCAGCAACAACAGCAGCAGCCACAGGAGCTGCCGCAATAGGAGCAACCGCAGTCTACTCTTTGCCTCCTTGGTCTTGCTCCATGTTCCCCAGCCCACCTGCTGGTCCCTCCTCTGGTGCATGACCTTATTTATGGCCCGATGTTCCCTCCCCCTGACTCCTCTCTAGCTCGTTTTCTCCTTCGCTCTCCTCCATCCCCTGACTTGTCCCCCGTCCCCCCTTGTCCCCTGATCTTTTCCAATGGGTCCATCGTCCCTCTGGTGCTCATCCTGTCTCTCCTCGTGCTAGTGTACACCCCATGGTCCTTCGCTCGCATGCTCCTCCAGGCCCAGTCCTTTCGTTGCCTCCCAAGTTGGCGCTTCCGTCGTCCCGCCCTCCTCGCTCTGATGCTGCTCGCACTGCTCGTTCAGTCCTCTCGTGCTTGCTTGTCACTTGTCACCAACCCTACAACTCCTCTTGAGTCAGTCTCTTTGATTGTCGCTGCTGTCGCTGATTTTGCTGCTAGCCACCGTCTTGACTACGTTGCCACTCTGGTCTCTAGAACTGCCCGTCCTCTGTCCGTCAGGGGTGCACCTGCCCTTGGTAGTGACGTGCTAGATGACAGGCAACACAAGTTGGGCTACGTTGCTACCGCTGAGCTCCTAAGTGAGCAGAGAGCTATGGCCTACCTTGCTACCGCTCAAGAGCTCCGCTGGCTGTCATTCTCCGCAGCACACCCCACTCCTAAACCCTGAGGAGCAAAGAGCTATGGCCTACCTTGCTACCGCTCACGAGCTCCGCTGGCTGACGTTCTTGCTCACAGACTTAGGTGAGCAGCCCAAGTCTGCCCCAGCCCTGTTTACTGACAACAGGGCCATGATCCTCCTTTGTGAGGAGGCTCGACTTGAGGGCAGGGCTAAGCACATCTAGCTGCGGTAATTCCTGATGCGTGAGTTGCAGCAGCAGGGTCAGGTTCGTGTGGTATAGTTGGCCTGAGAGGCCAACACCGCTGATATCTTCACCAAGGCACTCGCGCCTCGGAACTATCAGTGGTTCTGTACTTAGCTTGGTCTAGCCTCAGTAATAGCACCACTCCTTGTATCTTGAGTCATACTCTACCTGCTTGTACTTGTTGTTCCATACCTATTTGCTTTGGCACACTTGCTAATTGGCCTTGTGGCCTCTTATCTCAATGGTCAGACTAGTAGTGCTACCCTGAGTTGCTTTGTTACCCTCACCAAAGGTCAGACTAGTAGTACTGCCCTCGAGTGCTTTTCCTTATTATGAACCGCCACTATCTAGGCTAGGGGGTGTGTCTAGTCTAGCTAAGTTATATTTGTATATCGCCTAGTAGGTCAATTCTTAGAGGGTGCAGCCCTACCCTTGTACCCCTTGACACTTTTCCCTTAGCAGTTCATTCTCTCGATCACCTTACATCTTGGTGGGTTGGTGAGATGCGTTTCTGCAGTGTTGAACCTGCTGTCAACAAACATATATTGCCATATACTCAAATCTAGTTAGTTTATATATGTTTGTTATCGCCTAGCAATATCATTTCTTAGAGGTCACAACACTCTCTACTTGTATCTCCCCTCTCCTCTTTGTAGCCACACTTTTTCTCGCGCTTTACTGAGATGGTATAGAGCTAGGTTAGTTTTCCTCCCTAGCGCCGCACTTCCGCCGGTAGTATACCAGGTTTCTCTCTTTCTCTCTCTCTCTCTCTCTCTCTCTCTCTCTCTCTCTCTCTCTCTCTCTCTCTCTCTCTCTCTCTCTCTCTCTATCTCTCTCTCCCTCTCTCTCTCGCTCTCTCTCTCTTTCCCGCAACTCACGCTCTCCAAATTTCGTGCTCCATAGGCCTCCCCCCACCCCCCCCCCCCCTTAGCCTCCTCTCCGTTTGGTACGCCAGCCAGCCAGCTCGCCAGCCAGCTAGCACTCCAGCCAACTAACCAGCTCGCCAACGCTAACTGCGCCAGCCTGCCCACCCGCCCTTAGCCCGCCGTTTCGCGCCACTGGTTCGCCGCCACCGCCCAGTAGCCGCAGCCAGCCAGCTCACCAGTGCGATCTTGCCAACGCCAGCTCGCCAGCGCCAGCTAGCTCGCCAGCTCGCCAGCGCCAACCAGTTCGCCAGCTCGCCAGCGCCATCTCGCCAACGCCAGCTTGCTAGCGCTAGCCAGCTCGCCCGCTTGCTAGCGCCAGCTTGCCTGCGCCAGCAGCCAGCACAAGCCAGCTCGCCAGCGCCAGCTAGCTCACCAGATCGCTGGCTCACTAGTGCCACCAGCGCCAGCTGCTCCCCGAAAGCGCCAGCAGCCTGCAGCGTGTGCCAACTGCTGGCCGCCAGCAGTGCACTGCCAGCAGCTAGCAGCCAGCGCCAGCCGCCAGCCGTCAGCAGCACACTGCCAGCAGCCAGTGCCGGCTGCTACCGCCCACTGCCACTACAGCTACCATAGCCACTGCTGCAGCTACTACTGCCCACTGCCGCCCACTGCCGCCCGCTGCCACCTACTAATGCCTACTGCCGCCCGCTGCCGCCTACTGTCACCTTCTGTAACCAGCCGCCAGCTGACTTCTGTCACCTCCTGCCACTACCGCAGCCACTACCGTTGCTGCCCTTGCAACCGCCCCTGCCGCCACTCTCCTTGCAGCTGCCGCTATTGCCGCTCCTCTTGCAGCTGCCACTACCGCCGCTCCCCTTGCAGCTGCCGTTACCACCGCTGCTCTTGCAGCTTTTGTTGTTGCCACTGCCATTGAAGCCGCCACTGCCGTCTCTGCCCTTGCAGCCGTCACTACCGCCGCTGCCCTTGCAGCTGCCGCTACCGCCGCTGCCACCGTCGCCGCCACAGCCGACGCTGCAGCCGCTGCCTCTGCAGCCGCCGCTGCCACTACTGTCGCCACAGTCGTTGCCAACCGTCACTTTTGGTCTCCAGCAGCCGGCCACCAGCCGCTAGCAACAGTCGCCAGCTGCCAAAAGTCGACCGCCGGCTCCAGCTACCACCGGCAACCAGCCGCCGACCTCCAGTCGTCAGCCGCCAGCCGCCAACTGCCACGTCTCATGGCCAGCCGCCAGCCGCCACTCGCCAGTTGGTCGCCGACCTCGTGAGTTCCCCCGTGCCTTGTGTCGCCAGTCCTAGTGATCCCTAGCTTGCTCCTCGGCGTGTTGCTCCTTGTAGCTCCTCTCGTGCGTACTTCCTCCTCGTTTGCTCCCCACTCCTCCTGGCGGCTCCTAGCCTACCGTCTGCAGCTCACTAGCCGCTGTCCATTCGCAACCAGCTAGCCGCCACCAGCTAGCCGCCAGCAGCGCCTGCCAGCTTGCCACCAGCAGCGCCTGTCGGCTTGCCGCCAGTAGCGCCTACCAGCTCACCGCCAATAGAGCCAGCCTGCACACCTGCCAGCTCGCCACCAGTAGCCTCTGCCCGCAGCTGCCAGCTCACCAGCATGCCAGCTCGTCAGCTCGCTGCCAGCTCGCCACCTCGATCCCAGCTTGCCGCCTCTTGCTACCAGCCCGCTGCCAGCCAGCCGCCACTGTTGTCTTACTGTCACCAGCTACTGCTACCGTCAGCCTACCGCTAGCCGTCACTGCTGCTACCCTCCGTTAGTGCTCCTTTAGCCCCTAGTGCCTCCCACTAGTCTCCTCCTCATTTCTAGAGTTCCTCAATGCCTCTCATCTCGGCATGATGGCCTCGTTAGGGTTAGTACCTCGGCCAAACCGCCGGGCACTTCCCTCCGCTCTCCGATTTCTCGCTCACCGTCTACAGCTGGTGAGCCCGCACGCGAATTGCACCCTCCTAGAGGATCACATTATTTACCTCCTTGGCTTCTGGCTCCATGACCTCGACGTCTGCTTCCGGGCTCTCTGCCCAGCGTTGTAGCCACAGCAATTGCAGTGGCAGCAGCCGCAGTGGGGGTCTTGGGGGTATTGGGCGCGGTGGAGGCTCTGGAGGTGAGGCCTCGAGTCGGTCACTACCTTGGGGGCAGTGTGGTTCCTATGGAGGCCCTGGGGCATGGGGGCCTGGGGTTCTAGGTCCCACTCTTGTATCTAGACTAGGAGCTTCTACTACGTATCCCCTAGGCTCCTCCCCTGCCCCTCCTATGGTGGCCCTCTCCATCATAATCAAATCTGGCGTGTCTCGCTACTTCTTCCGAGACAGTACTGCTCTTACCCCACTTCTTGCACCTCCAGATCTCCCTAGCAGAATCCCCCGCCACAGTAATCGCACATAGCGCCACCACTCTCCCTTGTCCACTCTCCCTAGCAGGCTCCCTCACAGGTCTGCACATCCCTGCGCTTGCCAGGAACCTAGTTGGTGTCGGCCACCAACATGACCGAGGAGTCTCTACCACGTTTCCTAGCTACTGTATGCAAGGCACACAGACTATACAGACGCAGCCACAGGTAGACATCTAGCCACTTTTGAGTGTAACCCAATGTTCGGTCTCTCACCCTGCACACTGAGTCACTGCCAGTTGCTGCGTCTGTTGAGGTAGCCGCCTCATGCTCCTGTCGCTCCCTCACCCACCCGACCCTTCTGTGGCACCACCGCTTAGGTCACCCTACACTCCTGCGCCTTCGGCACATGTCCTAGCATAGTCTAGTTACTGGGCTTCCTGCATCGCTCCCCACCTTGCCTGCGTCAGTAGCGCCACTGGGCACCTCCTTCGTCGAGGGGCGGTGCGCTGCCGCCCCTCACTCATCCTCATTTCCTCCCCAGTGTCTGTAGCAACGCCGCTATAGACACTGCACATGGATGTTTGGGTTCCTTCCCCAATCCATGGTCTTAGCCGAGAGCTCTTCTTTCTAGTTGTTGTTGATGACTTCTCGTGCTACACCACTGTGTTTCCACAGGAGCGGATGGCCGACGTGCCTACCGTTCTCCTGCTGTGGCTGCTCGCCGCTCGCACCAAACACCGACTGCCGGTGGTTAATTTACACTCTGACCGTGCTGACGAGTTTGCCTCTAGCAGTCTAGGACAGTTCTGTAGTGTGGAGGGCATCTGCCAAACGTACACACTGCCGAACTCCCCACAGCAGAATGGGTTCACTGAGCAATGCATCCACCTGGTCATGGAGGTAGCTCGCACCTCTTGGTTCACGCCAGTGCACCCCATTTTCTGTGGCCGCTCGCTGTGCGTTACGCAGCTCTCTAGCTTAACATGTGGCCGCGCTCCCAGGGACCACAGGTTTCGCCGGCCCGTCTCTGGACCAGGTTTCCTGGTATCACTGCTGCGATCCACGTCTGGGGTAGCCTTGCTCACGTCCGCGCCACTAGCGCAAACAAGCTCTCAGCCCACACTCGTCCGTGTGTTTTCTTTGGGATTCCGTTTGACGGTCTGACTGGCTGTTTTACAAACCGGTCCATCACCGCTTTTACCGCTCTCGTGACATTATTACCTTTAACGACATGCTCCCCTACTACCGGCACTTCCCTTATTGCAGCTTACCTGTACCTCCTCCCCCTCTCTTCCTCACCCCTGCCCTGCCTGCAGCACCCCTCCCACCTCACCCGGCCCCGTCTGGTGTTTACGCCACTCCATTCCCCTCGGTCGAGCTTGTGGGGGAGTCTGCTAACTCTGGGGGCCCAGCAGCTGGGAGCGCGCCTGCTGTCCCTACAGCACCTCCTCTAGCCCCTTGCCTTAGCAACAGCCACAACCGCCACAGCAGCAGCAGCAGAGGGTAGTGAGCTCTGGGGATGCTGGTCTTGGGGTTGCTGGTTGTGGGGGTGCCGGCTTCGGGGATGCTGGCTTTGAGGGTGCTGGTTCTAGGGGTGCAGGCTCGGTGAGACGTGCATCTGGGGTTGCTAGTCTTGGGGGTGCTGTTTTGGAGAGTGCCAGTAGTAGCCGAGGTGGAGCTGGAGGTCCTCAAGGGGAGCAGCAACGCCAGCAGCTCTACCTAGAGAGCCGTCGGATTTCAATGCGCGTTACATGACTAGAGGCTTCAATCTCCAAGTGGGTGTGCACTTCTTCCACACTTCTCCCCGACCCCGAAGATGACTACTCTTCAGGTGCTCCTTCACCTTGCCATGTAGCATAACTACGAGCTTTACTTACTCGACTTCTCGATAGCCTTCCTGCAGGGTAGTCTGCACGAGCAGATCTACCTCCGGCGCCCACTAGGCTTCTCTAGGTCCTTCCTATAGGAGACCCAGTGGAGCCTGCGCCACCCTGTCTACAGCATGCGTTAGGCATCCCATGAGTGGTACGCCACTCTCCACACCACACATGCTGACCTGTAGCTCTTTCCGTCCTCTATTGACCCCTCTCTCTAAGTTCGCACAGGTTGGATCCCGTTCTACATCCTAGTGTACGTAGACGACCTTATCTTTGCTACTCTTGGCAAAGACGCAATGGCCTCAGTGAAGGCCGAGTTACTTAGGAGGCACACTTGTTCAGACCTCGGGGAGCTGAGGTGTTATCTGGGCTTGGAGATCTCTCGTGAGCCGGTCGAGCATAGTGGTCCATACGCAAAGTTGGTGGGGTGCCTCATATACGTAATGACCTGCACTCAACCAGATGTAGCGTACCCTCTCAGTCTCCTTGCTCACTTTGTTGCGACAGGCAGGCACCGACCAGTCCGTTAGAGGGTACTGCCATATCTGGTGAGTACATTAGGACTGGGGCCTGTGCTAGGAGGACGGGAGCGAGTGCTGCTCACTAGACAGACAGACGTGTCATAGGCTGACGACTTCGAGATGCCCGGGTCCTCTCAGGGCTACTGTTTTAGTCTTGAATCTAGAGCAGTCTCGTGGAGGTGCAATAGGTCGTCATCTGTAGCTCAGTCTAGTTGTGAGGCACAGATCTACGCTTGGGCCATGGCCGCTCAAGAGCTCTGCTGGCTGTTGTTCTTGCTCATTGACTTACACTAGGTGAGCCACCTAGGTCTGCACCGATCCTATTTGCTGACAATTAGGCCATGATCCTCCTGTGTCAAGAGGCTTGACTAGAGTGCAGGGTGAAGCACATCTAGCTGCGGTACTTCATGCTGCGTGAGTTACATCAGCGGAGTCAGACTCGTGTAGTACAGGTGGCTCAGAGGCCAACAGTGCTGACATCTTCACAAAGGCATTAGCATCTTGTGACCAACAGCGGTTCTGTACTCAGCTTGGTCTAGTCTCAGTAGCAGCTCCACTCCTTGTATCCTGATATATCCTATACCTGCTTGTAGTTGTTGTCCTATAACTTGCTACACTTGCTGACTAACCTTGTGGCCTATTCACTTAGTGGTTAGACTAGTACCTCTGGCCTGGCTTGTTAAACATTGCTTCTACCTAGGCTAAGGGGTGCATCAACAAACATATATTGCCATATAGTCATAGCTAGTTGGTTTAGATAAGTTTGATATAGCCTAGCTAGATCAGTTCTTAGAGGGGACAACACGCTCTACTTGTATCTCCCCTCCCCTCTTCCTGGTCACATTTTTTCGTGCTATTTTGACACCCGCGTCATATGGCTGTCGCTCGGCCAGTCGCCTATTTGCGCTTGCCAAGTTTTCCCCTCTCACACGCCAACAGGGTTACCAAGTTTCCTTGGTGTGGGTGTTTTAAGGGTTTGCCACTTGGAAGGTTCAAACCCCTTTGAACCTTGAAGTTATTGTATACTTTAGCTTTAAATCACAGGTCTCATTTTGTAAGTTGGGGACAAATCTTAGGCCAAGTTTGGTGCAAGACTTGCTTGTATTTTGCTCGGAAAGGTGCCCCTACCATGACTCTCACCACACGGTGCAGGGAGGAGCTTACTTTGTTTTTAATCTACGGTCGCAAGGCAATTCTTCATCTTCTGCTATGCTGATGAAATGTGGTGGCCACCGTACACTGCGAGAGTTCTAGCATAAGGTGGTATGTTCATAAAGGCAATTCTTTATCTTCTGCTATGCTGATGCGATGTGGTGGCCACCGTACACTGCAAGAGTTGTGGCATAAGGTGGGACGAGATGGGATGGGATGGGTGGCATATGTTTCTATGTAGAAGTTATAGGCTAGCTAGTGTTGTGCTCTTAGAGAGTACATCTCCAACCTATATCTCTCCTGTACTCTCTTCTTTCTATTCATTCACGTATTCTGACATGGTATTCTGAGCAAGTTAGGTCCGCCCACCCGCTTCCGCCCCTCGCCCTAGCCTACCGCGCCCGCCTGTAGCGCGCCCGCCCGCCCCTAGCGCCTGCCGGCCCCTTAGCGCGCCTAGTCGGCCCCTCCCGCGACTAGTCGGCCCTGCGTGCCTAATCGGCCCCTCCCGCGCCTAGTCGGCCCCGAGCGCCTCGTCGGCCCCTCGTGCCTCGTCGGCCCCTCACGCCTAGCCGGCCCCTCGCGCCCAGCCCCCCCCTCACGTCTAGCTGGCCCCTAGCGCCGGCCAGCCCCTCGCATTCAGACGGCCCCTCGCGTTTAGTCGGCCCTCGCGCCCAGCCAGCCCCTCGCGCCTAGCTGGCCTCGTTGCGCATAGCCGGCCCCTCGTGCCTAGCTGGCCCCTCGCGCCCAGCCGTTCCCGCACGTCTAGTCAGCCCCTCGCGCCTAGTCGGCCCTCGCGCCAAGCTGGCCCCTCGCACCTAACCGGCCCCTTGCCTAGGCATCCCCTCGCATAGCCGGCCCCTCATTCTGCCGACCCCTTGCCTAGCTGGCCTCCCCTCTTCTAATTGGCCCCTCGCCTAGCCGACCTCCCCTCTTCTAGCCGGCCCCTCGTCTAGCCGGCTCCTCCTGAGTTCACCGGCTCCTCTCGCGCAACACCGGCTTCTCGCTCCTGCCTGGCCCCTCGTCTGCTTCGACCCCAGGCGCGTCCGCCGGCTACTCGAGCGCCCACTGGCCCCTCCTGCGCCACTGGGCCTCTGCACTTCGCTCGGTCTGCTCACCGGAGAGTCCTACCGCCGTGTCGTTGTGCCGCCGTAGAGCTATGCCGTTGAGGCCCTGTGCCGTCGTGCCACCGTGTCGCTGTGCCACCGTGGAGCTGTGCCTTTGAGGCTGCATCATGGCAGGCGCCGTACTTTGCCTGGATGCCGAGGGAGACGCGATCGACTTGCCCTCCTGGCTTGTCGATCTTCGCCGTCAACTGGCAGGTCAGCGCCAGGATGGGCACTCCCTGACTATGCATGTTGATGACTTGCTTCCCCGCCCTCACGCGCCTGACCCCCTCCCTGCTGATCCCACCATTGCTGAGAGTGAGGCATTTGTCGCTGCTGCGCTTGCTCGTGCTGTCTGTGATTCCTGTGATGCTGTAGCATAGCTCGCCATCAGTCACGCTCTTCCCGTGTCTGAGCGTCCGTGCTTCACTGGTGTCGCGAACGATAAAGATTTCCTAGATGCCGTAGTTGCCCGCTACTCCACGATCGCCTCCGCCTCTGCTGGCCGCTTGCTCCTACCCATGCTGTTCCCATATCTCACTACTTTTCCCACTGTCGCTTACCTCGCCACTCACCTCCGCGCACTAGAGGCTAGCTACCGCACTGCTAGCATTACCGCCTAGCTTACTGATCTCCCCCCACCGTTCTGCATCACCCTGTACCGTATTGTCAGGCGCCTGCCTCACTACTTAGCCACTGCCCGCGACCAATTCCTTAGCGAGAACCTTGGTGACCTCACCCTGACCGCCTTTGTCACGGCCCTGTCCGAGATAGAGACTCGTCAGCGCACTATCGCTCAGTCGAGCGGTGTTGCGGCAGTCCCTATCTGTTAGGGCTTTGCTCCCTCCCAGTGCACGTATGCTGACGTTTTTGCCGCGGTCGCTACGGCGACCCCTGCCACGGAGATCGCAGCTGCGGTCTTCCCGCAGCAGCCCCAGCGTCGCGGCCGTCACGGCCCCAAGGGAGGGCGTGGTGGTGGTGCTGGTGGTGAAAGTGGTGGTGGCGGGGTCAGTGGCTTTGACGGGGGGGTTGGGGCTGGTGTCCAGGAGCAGCAGCAGCCGCAACGACCTCTTTCTTTGCCACTTCGGCGTGGCCCCTGACCTCCCTGACTGGCCCAGTCTGCTGCGCCACGGTGTGCCTGTCTTTGACTTAGAAATGGACCAGATTAGTTCTGCCCTGCATTCTCTGTATGCTAACGCTTTTAGTGTGTCCGGATCTTATTACCCTGTGTTCTCTAGCTTAGGCGTAGCACATGTGTGTAGTTCAGACTCCCCTGCTTTGTCAGGCGTAGGATCGTTTGCTTTGTCTAGCCTAGGATCCATACTTGCTCCTCCTTCGTCTGCCGCTACTGCCTCGCTGTCCTTCACTCTGGACTCCGGTGCGTCTGCCAGCTTCTTCCGCGACTGCGCCACACTCACGCCGGTTGCAGCGCCTGCCAATGTCGCTCTTGCTGACCCCTTGTCCCGTCCTGTCGTAGCTCGCAGCTCCACTACCCATCCCTAACCAGCGGTGCCCTCAGGTTCCCTTACAGGCTTGCACGTCCTTTCGCTCTCCAGGAACTTTGTTGGTGTCGGCTGTCTTCAGGACCTCGGTGTCACCACTACGTTCCCTGGTCACGAGCGGTACAGTGTCTATACCGAGGCTGCCTCAGGTTCTCCCCTTGCGATGTTCCCCCAGGACCTGGTGTCTGGCCTGTTTACGCTAGACACTGCTGCCCCCCCGGCTGGCGCGTCCTCCCTGGGCCCTGCATCGACACAGGTCATTGCGGCTTGCTACTGTCGGTCGCTCGCTAACCTGTCTCTTCTGTGGCACCACCGCCTAGGTCACCCCGCACTCCCGTGTCTTCGTCACATGTCTAAACACGGTCTTGTCCTAGGTCTCCCTGCGTCACTTCCCGCCCTCCCCCCTCGCCTGCGCCACCATGCACACCCTGCGTCGAGGGCTGGCTGCGTCGTGCTCCTCACTCCTCCTCACTTTGCCCAGCTCCTGCTCCCCTTCAGACCTGCACCTGGACGTCTGGGGCCCAGCCCCATCCCCAGACCGCGTCGCGAGCGCTACTTCCTAGTGCTTGTTGACGATTACACGCGCTACACTACGGTGTTTCCCCTGGAGCGAAAGGCTGACATGCTTGACATTCTTATCCCGTGAGTCGTAGCTGCGCGTCTCCACCGTGGTCTCTTTGTGCTGTGTCTCCAGTCTGCCTGCCACTTTCGCTCTTGCTGACCCCTCCTGTGGTCCTGTCGTAGCTCCCAGCTACACTACCCTTCCCTGTCCAGTGGCCCCCTCGGGTTCCCTTACAGGTCTGCACGTCCCTTCATTCTCCAGGAACTTAGTTGGTGCCGGCTGTCTTCAGGACCTCGACGTCACCACTATGTTCCCTGGTCACGAGCGGTACGCTGTCTGTACAGAGGCCGCCTCAAGTTCCCCCTTGCGACGTTCCCTCGGGACCCGTGTCTGGCCTGTTTACGCTGAATACTGCTCCCCCCCCCCCCCCCTGGCTGGCGTGCCCTCCTTGGGCCTTGTATCTACACAGGTCGCTGCAGCTTGCTCGTGTCGGTCACTCACTCACCCGTCACTTCTGTGGCACCACCGCCTAGGTCACCCCGCACTCCCGCGTCAGCGTCACATGTCTCAGCACGGTCTCATCCTAGGTCTCCCTGCGTCATTTCCTGCTGTCCTTTTCTCACCTGCGTCGAGGGCCGACTACGCCGTGCTCCTCACTCCTCCTCGCTTTGCCCTACCACCGTGCCCCTTCAAACCTTGCACCTTGATGTCTGAGGCCCTGCCCCCGTCCCTAGACCGCGCGGCGAGTGCTACTTTCTCGTGCTCGTCGACAACTACACGCTCTATGCCACAGTGTTTCCTCTGGAGTGGAAGACCGACATGCCTGACATTCTTATCGCGTGGCTCGTAGCTGTGCGTCTCCATCGCGGTCTCCCTGTGCTGTGTCTCCACTCTGACCGTGGCGGCGAGTTCGCCTCAAGTCGGCTTGGACAGTTCTGTCGTGCGGAGGGCATCACCCAGTCGTACACTCTACCGGACTCCCCGCAGCAGAATAAGGTCGCTGAGAGACGCATCGGTTTGGTCATGGAGGTGGCTCATGCCTCCATGATTCATGCCGCTGCACCCCATTTTCTGTGGCCGTTCGCCGTTCGCTACGCTGCTCACCAGCTGAACCTGTGGTCGTGCTCCCAGCGGCCGCAGGTTTCGTCGACCCTTCTTTGGACCGGGTTCCCTGGTGACGCGTCTGCGTTCCACGTCTGGGGCTGCCTTGCTCACGTTCGTGCCTCTGGCACGGACAACCTCACTGCCCGCACCGTTCCCTGTGTCTTTCTAAGTTTCCCCCATGACTCGTCTGATTGGCACTTTTACCACCCGCCGCCTCACCGCTTCCTTCACTCTCGTCACACCACTTTCAACGAGTCTGTCTCCTTTTACCACCGCTTTCCCCACCGAGGTCTCCCTGTTTCCCCACCCCTGTTCTTGGTTCCCACTCCCCCGATAGCTCCTGCTCCCCTCCCTCCCCGTCCTGCTCCATCTAGTGTGTCTCACATCACTCCCCTCCTGTCGGTTGTCCCGGTTGAGGAGAATTCTGACTCTGGTGGCCCCGCGGCACAGTTCTCGCCACCTGCCTCTCCCCAGGTGTCTCCTCCTCTGCCATCTCAGTCACCGCCGCAGCAGCCGTCGTCGCAGCCGCAGCAACAGCCGCCGCCGCCAGCGTAGCAGCAGCCGTTCGTAGACTGTAGGGGTGTGGCGTTGAGGAGGGTGCTAGTCCTGGGGTTCCTGTCGTGGCTTGTCCCGGCGGGCCTAGGGGTTGCACTGGTGCTGGGAAGAGTTCTTGCTCTAGGGGTGCTCGTTCTGGGGGTGCTGGAATGGAGTGTTCCGGTGGTAGCCGTGGTGCGACTGGCAGTCCAAGTGTCGGCGTCGAGCAGCAGCAGCAGCAGCAGTCGCCATCGGTGTCCGCCCTTCGCCTGCTTGACCTTCCCTCCCCTGACCGCTCACATGAACCTCTCTCGCCCCCTCTTCCTTTTCCTGTCTACCGCCCTGTGTTCCCTCCACCTGGCTCGTCTCTAGCTTGTCTTCCCCTCGTTCCCCTCTTGTGTCTCCTCCTCTGTCTCCTGACCAGACGCCTCCGTCTCACGTCTGGTCTCGCCGTCCCTCTCGTGCTCGTCCTGTCTTTCCTGCTCAACGTTCTCACCCTATGTTTCTTCGTTCCCATGCGTCTCGTCCTCCCCTCCTCCCATCGTCTCCTCCGTCGTCGCTTGTTGTCGCACCTCCCCCCCTATCTGACTACCTTTGGGCCGCTCGTCCTCTTGTTCCTCGGGTCCTTGCCTCTCTCGTTACCGACACGTCTGTTCCTGTCTCGAGTCTTGACGCTCTTGTCGCCGACTTCGCCTCTACCCCCCGCCTTGATTATGCCACCGCTCTGGCCCTTGACCATGTCCGTCCTCTGTCCCTCGGGGGTGCTTCTGCCCTTGGTAGTGACGTCCTAGAGGATAGGCAGTACGAGCTTGCTTTCTTGTCAGAGGCTGCTCCCCATCTCTGTTCCATGCTCCTAGTCCTTGAGGGTGACCCAGACGCCTTTGACATCCCGACCCCTCGCACTTACGCTGAGGCAATCTCGGGACCTTGGGCCTCTCAATGGATAGCTGCCATGGATCATGAGATGGCATCTTGGAGATCCACCGGCACCTACGTCGACGCAGTTTCCCCGCCAGGGGTGAACGTAGTCGATTCTCGGTGGCTCTTCAAGGTGAAGCGCCCCCCTGGAGAGCCGCCTGTCTTCAAGGCGTGCTACGTTGCTAGAGGCTTCAGTCAGCGCGAGGGGGTGGACTTCTTCCAGACCATCGCCCCGACCTCGAAGATGACTACTTTTCGGGCGCTGCTACATGTAGCAACACAGCGTGACTACGAGCTCCTCTCCCTCGACTTCTCTACTGCGTTTCTTCAGAGCAGCCTACACGAGCAGGTCTACCTGCGCCGTCCATAGGGCTTCCCCGGTACCTTCTCTCATGGGACCTAGTGGCTCCTCCGACGCTCGGTCTACGACCTGCGACAGGCGCCCCGTGAGTGGCACGACACACTGCGTGCTACGCTTGCTGACTTGCAATTCTTTCTGTCTTCTGCAGACCCTTCACTTTTTGTTCGTGCTGGCCAGACTCCGTTCTACATCCTTGTCTACATAGACGACTTTGTCTACATCCGTGCATGCTCTTTGCTCTGCACTGCCGCTTATCTAGCCTAGGGGGTGTGTCAACTTATACATATATTCATATGTAGAAGTTATAGGCTAGCTAGTGCTATGCTCTTAGAGAGTACATCTCCACCTATAGCTCTCTTGTACTCTCTTCTCTCTTATCATTTATGTATTCTGACAATGGGATGGGATGGGGAGGCAACAGGTGAGATGGAATATCTACGACCTTCTAAAACGCTGCTGCAATGTGACAATTGAAGTAGCGCAGAAGAGGGCATGGGAGCAGAAGGAATGGGATGGCATGGAATGACAAAGTATGGCCCTAAACCCCAAACATGCCACCCCTTTTATCCCTAGTGTTTGGTGTTATTTAGTCAACGGAATTTTCCATGCCTCCTCCTAAACCTTTTGACTCACCTGGGGCGCTAGTGTGTGCCTCCAAATCTCCCCACAAATGCAACATCATAGCTACTAGAAGGATTAAAAATAATGGCTCGGGCGGACACGAAACAGGGCAAACTGGGTCTACCATAGCGGTCTCCAGGCCCAAAAAGGATTTCACTAGCTCAGTGATTGGCCGATGCTATTGCGCTCAACCACACTCTGTATTGTGTAATACTTGTTGAACATCCCACTCCACATGCTGGTGCGCTCTGCAATGGAGGACGGGTCATCGCGTCGCGAGTGACCAAGTGATAGGTTATCGACATAATGAGGCATCTTTGTGCCATTTCTTTATATTGCCCTATTGCGTTGACATGGCTCGACCTACTGCACGACTGCGTTACCAGTTTTTAGGGTTTAGGGCGCATTACAAGAGTACACGTACAGTTACAGTAGTTTTGAACGATTGATAATGTTTTATGGCATATAGTTAAGGCATGATGAACTTCTTGAGTGGTCAGGTTATGGTTTGTACCATAACCATAACTTGTACTCTTATGACACGCCCTAACCACACAAACCATGGGTTCCATGCAAACACACAAAAGACTTGCAACTATTTTTATCAACACAATTTTGTTGATTCATCATATAATATAGTTTGGTACATTGCCCCAGATATCTAGAGTAAGTATGCATATATTGTTAGAATATGCCATCAAAGGAGGGTCAACAAAGGGTGAAACTTGTTTCGTCCAAACAGGTCATTAGGTTGGCTATTGAGCCACTTCAAGATTCCAGCCTCAAAACGAAACAATGCAGGCTTAAAAACCCAGGGCCCCTCTTGATCCAACCCTCCAGAGAAAAACGAAGTCCCTTTTTGGACGACGAGACATCTGGTCGCAACTGTGCACAACTTCGCGCCAAACGAAATGAAAAAGCAAAAACTTCCCTCCCATTGGCCAGATCTAAACAGATGAGCAGTCCGGCGCGAGAATGTGCACGCAAAACAAGAGTGAATTTTCCCACGTCGGCAGCCTGTCGCACAGCGTGTCGCACGATTGCGCGACGAGGGTGGCGAGAGGGTGTCGGGAACAAGGAAGTCCGTCTTCAAGAGGGACCCCCCTCTGCTATTCCTGCACAAAGCGAGGCACTCCAAGCGATCTGCCATAGCCCAACACTCGGACTGCTAGCAATGTACAATACGCACCACCCGGGACATAGTGAACGATAGACTAATTCCAGACCAGGCAATTAGAGTTTCCTGCACGCAGAACAGGGGTTTCGGAAGGGTCGCAGAACACTCAAGGGCGGACTAGACATACACTGCACCCTGCGAGACGGTCTCCATTTTCCCGTACTCCGATTCCCTCTCCCACTTCCCGTTGCTTCCTGCTTCCTGCCTCGCGCTTTTTGCGACCCACTGCTCGTTGCAACCGGCCATCCGCTTCCCACTTCCCGGGTCCCACTGGCTGCTCCCTCTCGCTGCCCTTCATCTTCCTGCAACCGACACCCCCCGTTCCTCGTGCTCTGCTGCCCATCCTCTCCATCCTCTCGTTCCGCCCATCCCTCACACACTTTTCTCCCTTCTTTCTCCCGCTATGCCTATCCCTCCTGGCCCTCTCTCCTCCTATCCCTCACACTCAATTTCTTGCAGCATGGTGCTTTGTGAGGTACCTAGGGGTGGCGGTGGAGGATGTACCAAGGGTTGATGCAAGGCATCTCAGTGTGGCACCCTCACTCGCATATACCAGTGGCTCAGTATCTCAAACACTATAGCCGTCCTTAGTAGTGGCATGTTCTACTGTAAAGTAATGCAATATAACTCGTGGCAATTGTGCAAACATCTCACATACTGAGAAAGACTATGGATCAACCCCTCGGGTGTCAATAACCCATTCCAAGTGTTGCATTCTTTGACACGGTCATACAAAACTATACAATTGTTTCCTGTTTTTCATACATGCATACATCGTATCATCATACTACACCTACATAAAGAAATCATGTAAGTTGCACTACTGACACCCATTGCGAGACCAAAACATCTTAGACGCTGCATGCCAGGTTGACGCTTGCAGATCCCCTGCAATGGCACATGCAAAATGGATGAGATGTGCGAATGTTTCATGTTTCTATCACACAGATAAATACATTGAAAAATCATAAGCTCACCAGTTTGGACCATGGTCGCCAAAATTCTTGGAGAAGCCTGAAAATGAGTATGCCCAAATAATGTTGTTTGTGCCCGCATACTTGATCGGGGACAAGCCCGTCTTGCCGCTCCGGGTGAATCTGAGAACGCAAGGATGTGAAAGATGGGAATGTGTTGATGCATTGCTGAAAAGCATGATGTCTCGTTGTCAGCGGTAGTTGTGGCAGCCATCACCATAACTGGTACACGCCCTAAAAAGACATTTCAAGACAACTCACTTGATAATTGTTGCTGACACGCTGCTCGTAACTGACGTCGCTGTCACTTTGAATGCGGATGATGGCACAACCGAAGACATGCTGTAGCCATTCATGGCATACGCCTTAACACGAGTTGGTGCGGGGAGATTCCCAACGACCGCATCTGCAGGGTACATTCGCCCGGGCTCTGAACCCATGCAACGGAAATCCACCCGT